AAAAAAAGGTATTGCTCACAGTTCTCAATATAGGGATAGCCAATATCAAGGTGTCAACATATTTATTGTATAGAAGTTTTCTTTTTAATTTTTATCTGACACATCTTTTTGCTGTGTCTATATCTAGTAAGTAGAATGGAGCAAGGAATTTCTGTGGGAACTTTTCTTTTAAATCAGGAAATTAATCCCACTCATGACCGGTGTTCCCTCATGACCTAATCACCTCCTAACACAATCACATTGGATGTTATGATTTCAACACATGAATTTTGGCAGGAACACCAATAGTCAGGGCATATCATTACTGTTGATGGTGTTGGTAAAGTAGTGGTGGTGGTTATGTGATGGTGTATGTTTCACTTTTAAGCTCCTGAACATTGCTTTAAGTATTTATCCAATGTTCCCATGTTATTTGTTCAAATAGCAACAAGGGGAAAGGTCATAGGGTTTTGATGATCCAGGAAGCATATAAATCATGAATTTACATCGACATCATAACTATTCCTACTAAAACATCAATCAATGAAATTCTAATATATATGTATATATATATATATATACACACATAGAATGAGAATAAAATACAATATAAATTCACACTGCAGTTGATATTCTAAAACAAATACTAAGGATATAAAGAGTGGAGTCACAGATGTTTCAGGGTAAGGCTTCTGTCTTGCACATGGCCAACTTCAATTCAATTCCCACAACCAGATATGGTTGTCTGACCAGCGCTAGGAGTAACCCCTGAGCACAGAACAGAACAAGGAGAAAGCCCAAAGCACTGCTGGGCATGACCCAAATCTATCCCAACCACTCACCCCCTGAAAAATCTGGAGAGGAGCTGGAGAGATATCTCGAAGAGCTGGAACAGATACTGTGCCTAAGAGAGCTCTGGGTGTGGTCTCTGGCACTGCATGGTCCCTCTAGTACCACCGGGAGAGGCTCTGAGTGCTCCCTGAAAAAAAGATGTAAAGGTATGAAGATAATAAGGTAATAAGTGGCCATAATTAAGCATTTCTTAGAAGCGAAATTTCCATAAAGGACTTCAGCAATATCAAGCCAAAGATGTCTGAACAAGATCACAGTGATAGTACAGTGGATAAAATATTAGCTAAAATTTCCCTATGATTAACCAAGAAATAATTTCCAACATCCAGAAAAATCAATTCAAAATTAATTCCTGTCTGCATGTGAATCACTCCAGTTCAATCTTCAGCATGATATGGACCGGCTCCCCACTTACTATCAATCACTGAACACAGCCCTCAAGGCCTTGAGCACTGCTGGGTGGTTCACTGACTCCCAGACACCACAGGGAGCAAGCAATACTGCAGCCTCAGACTTCCACATCAAACCTCTGTGGCCAGGAGCCCTCAGACCTCCTAATAGTGCTTGGGAGCTGGCCTAATATTTCAGTTGAGATCTAAGACAGTTATATGGACATGCTTGTGTAGGTGTGTGTTTGCTTCAGTTATACAAAGTTTCTAAATAATGAAAGATGCTATTTCTGATAAACCTAGGTCTTTGGCAAACAAAACTTCAGTCCTCATCTCTCTCTCTCTCTCTCTCTCTCTCTCTCTCTCTCTCTCTCTGTGTGTGTGTGTGTGTGTGTGATCTCTTATCAACAAAACATTTTGCAAATGTCCACATCTGAACTAAAAATAAATAGTGACTCCATCTACTCAGAAGATAGCAAGAAAATGACTACCTGTGGTTAGTTGGAGCCTGGCTTAGTTTATACTTAATCAACTCTTATTTATTTATTCTTGTCTCTAAATGGGCAGCAAGGAAAATGGAATTATGGTCAAAAAGACAAAAAAAGTTCCTGAAATTTCATAGTGAATCTGGGGCAACTAGAAAAAAAGTTATTCGCTCTATAATGCTGCTTCTTTGTTAAACTGCCAAGCAAATGTGGAAGGAGACAGCTTACATTGATACTGAAAGGTTAGCCCAAAGGAAAAAGGCTTTTTTTCTATTCTTTTTTTTACAGAATCAAGAAACTTTACCCTTTCCCTTAACTCTTCCTCACTGAAAGACTTAATAAATTTATATTGCTATCCTTACTGTATGTTACTAGAAAACAAAATGTTTATGCCTTTAGTTACTTTATAACATTTATTTAAAATAATATAAAGTGTAGTATACGTTAAGGAGAATGGAAACAAAATATATTTGAAAATACAAATTTAACATATTAATTTGAATAGTAAATGATCTTAATTTGTTGGAGTGGATAAATTTAGAATAACATTCTCACATTGTTGGCATTCAATAAAGTGTGATTTAATCAGTTTTTTTAATGATTTTTCTCTAACAACCTTTGAAACCATTGAAAATATGCAATTTGGTTGAAGCTTTAGACATACTTATTTCCTTATTTTTAACAACAAATACTACCTGGTTTCTAAAAATTTTTTTGAGTCATTTAGATTCCAGTGACTGAAAATATTAGCTAAAATATCCCTATGAATAACCAAGAAATAATTTCCAACATCCAGAAAAATCAATTCAAAATACAGGAACTTAAATAACTGATGATATCAAATCATCTTATTCTTTCCTCCTGAACTTTAAGATTCACTGGCAATTTAAAGAGCACTGCAAAATAACAGTGCTTATTATCTGACATATCAAATATTCTCTGTCTGCTTGCTACCAAGTTTGAAACTTATGAAAAGTTCCATGAGATAAAGATCTAAAAGAATTTATAAGTGATTTGAACGAAGCAAAAGCAAAAGTGGAGAATAATTAAACTCTAACTCATGAGATAGTTACTACAAGTACAGTTGATGTTCAAAAACCAGCAATGAAAAAAATACATTTTACTTGACTTTTTCAGAAAAAAATTTTCAAGGACACTAGGAATTTGCACTTGTCTTAAAGGAAGAGATTTTGAAAACAAGTGACAGTGTAGATTGGTTAATGTTCTTAGACGTTTGACATCACTGTGGCCAGAAGTAGATAGACTAAGGATTTCAAGAGTTTAAAATATGATGTTGGGCAACACAAAGCAACTTTATTAGCCAGATGTAGACAGTTGTAGAGTGTTTGCCAGAGACCATGAAGAAAGTGATTTACATCTGGAAGTCATTAAATATTTCTTGTAGCAAATTCTCTTGTGCTTGACTTCCAATCCTGCATTTTTTTAATTCTAAACTTTTTTTTAGGCTACTTTTCCTTAACTGAGAAATTTTCTTATCTGCATCAAAATATCAACATGAGGCTCAAATGATAAGCATGAAAGTATTCAAGAAGCTGCAGATCATTAAAAAGTATTAATTTTCTATAAAATTGCATAACTGGATATAATAACTAAAATTCTGTTACTCTTGATAACAGTATATCTTTTGGCCACACGCAAAATCAAAATGGATTAACAAAATGGTGGTACTTAGGGTTTACTCCTGGCTCAATTCTCAGGGATCACTTCTGGTAGTACTCACGTTCATTTGTGGTGCTGGTGACAAACCACAATAAAGTGGGCTGAAAGGAAAATTGCCTTGTCTGCGCTGTGTTATTTCTCCAGCCCCAAGTGTACTATTTTAGGTGACATTGGTGGTATAGTGGTGAACATAGCTGCCTTCCAGGTGAATTATTTTATTATAGCTTGGAGACAAAAAAAAAACTGAGTGATTTTCTCTACTACCTGAATATCTACAAGTAAGAAAAAAAAATCCTGATAAATTGTCGATAAAGATGCAATTACTTTTAAAGAACTCTATCTCCTTGATACTTGGACTTTGATTCTCAACAACAGGGAGTCCATGGACCATCCACATGCGTATCTTTGCAAAAATCCCAAGTCAGAGTTGCTTAGGCAGGAGTTAGGCCAGTGAATTTGAATGACTTCAATGAGACCCAGGTTAAGTTACACAATGTTTCCTGATTAGATTATGCAACCCAACAACCCACTTCAAGTGGGGACTTTCTATTACCTGCTTGACAACCAGAAAATTTTCTTTTGTAGTATATTCTGTAATTGTATATTCAGTAATTATTATCAAAATAGTTGACTCTGAGTGCAAACCAGGTGAAGCATATACATCTGAGTGTCAGACGTAACTGGAAATCATATCGCATGACCCTTCCTTGATCTTAATTTGGTAACAAAATGGATTTATATGTTCATTCATGTTTAAAATAGCTTATTCAAAAATAACCTGCATACAAATTTAACATCTGTCATCTAAACTTTTTACAAAATTCTATTATACCAGTTCATTCCCTGCAGTTGAATTTATCTGCCCAAAGGATTTTTCTTTAAAAAAAATTTTTAAAAATTAAATTAAATTTTTAAAAATTGAATCACTGTGAGATATAACCTTACAAAGCTATTCATAATTAGGTTTCAGTCATACTGCATTTCACCACCCATTCCTCCATCTGTACATTTCCCAGCACCCACGTTCCCTCCCATCACCCCAACCTCTAGCCTGCCTATATGGCAAGTGCTTTTCTACTCTCTCTCTCCTCTCCCATCTCTCTCTCTCACCCTCTATCGTTCTTAACCTCTCTCTCTCTGTCCCCCTTCCTTTTGTAACTGCCATAGTTTTAATAACATTTAAAAGTTGAGCCTTATACACATCCAGATTTATCTTTTTAAAAAGATATTTATCTTTTGCCCTTCGATATAGTTTAGTCTTTCAGGTGTCAAATCTGTAGGTGATTTTACAGATCACCTCTCTCAAGAAGGATGAAGAATCATATTAGCTGAGTCAGATATGATGTTGATGGTATCAGGAAGCTGTACACAAGGGAGAAATTCTCATGCAGCTTCCCACAGAGTGGGGTGAAACCTCCCAACCTTCCTCAACAAGACAACTTCTTCAAGTTCCTTCCAGGTTGAAAGCTCACACCTCTTCCTTGCTCAGCAACAGAGGTGATGTCCTGCCAAGAAAGGTGTATGGAGGAACTAAAAGGATTCCCTAGGGTCAGGAGGAAAAGAAAATGAACTTCATTCCATGACTAGTTTCCCATCTCCATCCTGCTTACTCATGATGTCGGCTTACTTTGATGGTCTGCTGCGAAATTTAGGGTCTAAAGAACAACAGATTCTCATGAAGTAAAACCTGCAGCCTTTCCATAGCAGATAGGGGAGGATTGTTCCACACTGGCTGTGCTCAAGGCTGACTCTTGTCTCTGTGCTCAGGAGTCACTCCTGGCAGTGTTCAGGGATTAAACTGCTTGTCATTTCCATATTGGAATAAAAGGTCACGACTTTCATGTAGTTAAACAAGCAATAATTTGACCTTTACAATTTGTGTTCTACTTCTGTAGAAAGGGGGAATCTGGAAACGACCTTACCCCTCAATTTCTGGGATCTGACTGAAACAGTTCTGTGAAAACGGCCTTGGATACACCACTAATCACAATGTTGGTTATTTCTAAGCTTATGTGTATGAATCAGCCCACTCTCTCTCTGAAAAAGAAATTTATTTGGGTGAAACCAGAGTAGGTGCTGACTTGTCGTCAAATTTATCCAAATCCTTACACCAAACTTTCAGATGGGCCGCTTAAAGTCATCAGCGCCCCCCCCCCTCCCCCCACCACCACCACCTTCTCCTTGGCTCTCTGTCATGGCTACACTCTGTACCTGTCCCTACATTTCCAATTTAATACGGTTATGGAATCACGATAAACAAGGCATCGTCTTCCGGAATAATTTGATGTGCCTTTTTAGAAAAAAAAAAGAATTGTGCTCAATTTTGAGGATGCTTGGTAGACTACACAAGTTTAGTATATCCAGTAAGCAGACTGTAATTCTTGACTCAAGTGGAAGTGGAGACTCTTTATCGTATTTGTTTAAAGGGTGCTTGAAGCTCAGGGAATTTTAAATTAATTCAAGAGCCTAGAATGACAAACGGGAGAGGAAAGCTTTTCCTTAGAAGCTTCCTTAGAACCCCCATATTCCGATGATGCTGAGTAAGAGGATGTTAACAGCGTTTTTCTAAATTCCAATCTTGCTACTTTGGCTCATCCTCCTCTGATGGGCATGATTGAGAAGATGGGCATCTCTTGGCGGGGTGTGGGATGGGGAGGGTTCTGTCCCCTCCCCCCCCAAGAATAATCTTCCCTGATTTGCCACAGAGTCCAGGTTATGAAATTCCGGACTGCGCCTCCTGTGACCTCTACCCACCTCAGGGACCGGGCTATCACTTCCACCCACCGTGGTACGTACGCGGGCAGTACCGCCCAGCTACCCCGCCACCCCTAACTCCCTTTGCCCAGTGTCCCTCCTCCCCCCCACCCCCTTCTCACATCGGGGAATTTCCCCAGCATCCCAAAAGGTCCAGCTTCCTGCCGGGGGCGAGGGGGGGGGGGGAGTGGGGGGAAAGGACGCAGGAGATAAAAGGGATGCAGAGGATTTGCAGGGAGCCGCGGTGCTTCCGAGCTTCAAATCCCCGCGCTTGCCCACGCCCGAGGAAACTGCTGCCCGCGCCGCGATGAGTCGCCTGCCCTGCCCTACGGGCTCGCTGTGCGCGCTGTTCGCGCTGCTGCTGCTGTTGCTGCTGGCGCCCTCCAGGTCCCTGGCCAACGGTGAGAGCCGGGCGCAGGCCGAGCGGGTGTGTCCCTGGGTCCGATCGCTAAGCAAGAGCCCGGTAACCTTCTCTCCCTCTCTCCCTCTCGGCCAGCCCCAGCTGAACCCGTCGCGCCCGTGCTGCGAGAGCTGCGCTGCGTCTGTTTAACCACCACCCCGGGCATTCACCCCAAGATGATCACTAATCTGCAGGTGATCGCCGCAGGCCCGCAGTGCCCCAGGGTGGAAATCATGTGAGTCCCGATGCAACTCCCCCTCCCCATCACTCTAGCCTGCAGGATCTTCAGGCCCCTGCGGCTCACCCGTGCATCCTCTTCTTTCTGCAGAGCCACCCTGAAAAACCGGAAGGATGCGGTGTGTCTGGACCCACAAGCCCCTCTGATCAAGAAGGTTGTCAAGAAAATTTTGGACAGGTACATATCCCTTTGATTTGTCTGGTTCTCAGTTCTCTGCTGAGATCCTAGAGGGAGTTCTTTGAATGAAGTTTGATTAGTCCAAACCAGACCGTTTGTTTGTTCAGGAAGGTTGATCTAGAAAAGAGCGGGAAGTGCTTCTGGAATGCCCTGAGGTCCTGAGGCGGTGTCCTCAAGTGGATGTGTTAATTGCCTAAGAAGTTAGAAAGAGTTCAATCGGATGTTCTTTTGGTCCCCATAACGTCCTTCAATTTACTTTTGTTTTTCACTGAGCTTAAACTTTGCATTTTGAGGGAGGATGGAATAGCTGGCTGGGGTCGTGGAGAGTTGCCTTTTAAAACTGCTAACTACTCTTTTCTCAACAGCAATAGCAAGAAAAACAAGAGAAAGAAGGACCGGATATTGGGGAAATTGCCTTCTGAACCTGTTTCTGTCAGAACCCCGTGAAGATAAGAACAAAGGCTGATTTTCTCCCAGGAGTTAATGATTCTCATGAATTCTGCACTTCAAAATTGGGGTGGAAAGCTAGCCCCAAACTGGTTCCTGCTCAGTTTTTTAGTAATTAGCATAGCATTTCTAGCTGTTTGTTGTCTGTGATTTTTATCTGCTATACTTGAAGCATAAAAGTCTGAAATGTGAGTCAAGTATCACCCATTTGTTCAAAATCTTTCGAAGTGACTTTTATATCTAGAGTATATTTCTTACCTAGAAAGCTGTGCATTGAATATGTGTATGATATTTTATTAGAATACTATATACTGAAATAGACTGTTACTTTCCAATCATACAATAAGAAAAATTAATATTGCTTCTTGGAGAATGTGTTATAGAATGTCCTTGCAGTTGACCCTAACACCATATTTTAAGTTAGGCTGCATTGGAAATCTGGGTATATTGTATTGTTACCTGTGTAGAATATATTTCCCTAATTAGAATTTGAAAACTTCAAGTTCTATAAGGACTAGTATATTCTTTTTCTATAACTTTAGATATTAGATGTCTCTAAGTATGGCATAATGTCATGACTTATTCATTAACTCTTAATTTTATAAAGTATTTATTAACTATTTTATTAGTAATACTTTAAATCTACTCACTAAATTTGATTTTGGACTGATGAAGAAACTGAAAAATAGGTCAGTTCCTTATTTTTAGTCTTCCTAGAAATGAATTTTTTAGTTTTAATAAAAGAAAGCCAAATAGTCATTTGTACTCTGAAAGTTTTTAAATAATATTTTTACTGTTTGAATATTATTTGTTTACTTTCCAAGAAATACACAGTGCTCTTAATATTTAGAGACATTTGTACATGCATACTTAATAAAGGATTTTGATCATTTTGTTATAATTATATCATATTTACTGTGTTAAAATCATACATTTTATTGCAAGTTTCATTGACTTCTAGTTTTTTTTGGTTCTTTGGGAAAAATAATAAAAATTACTAAATTTACTGATATTGTTTCCTTCTTCTGCAGTGTTGAAAAATTTTTAGTTTTGGTGCTACATTATTATTTTTGTTTGTCTGGGGGCCACACCTGGCAATGTTCAGGGTTTACTCCAGGCTCTGCACTCAGGAATTACTCCTGGTGGTGTTCAGGTGACCAACTTAGATGCCCAGGATCAAACCTGGGTTGGCCATATGCAAGGCTAGCACCCTTCCCACTCTACTATCTCTCATGCTCTGAATGTTACATTATTTTTAAACATGAGCTACACTACCCTCTGGCTAGCAGACAGGACCCTCATTTCCCTATGCTTTTGCATTTAATCCTGTGTAATTTGAGGGAGAAAGAATCTAAATTCACTTCCCGTATAGCTTAGCTAACCTTTGGGTTCATTAGAGTATGCAAAACAGTCATGCCAACAAAAGGTTCTCTATTCCCTAGATGTGGTTTAAAAGTCATAGAGCATAGCAAATTAGGTGCTGTGTCACCCAATTCCTGATTAGTAGTTCAACTTAAATTTTCCTCATATCTTCATAATCAATTTAGTTCCCTCACTGCCATGCTGTTCCTGTGTCCACACCATTGCATTCATAAGGCCCCACCTACCGGTACATTAAGACCCTTTCATCTTGTAAGGTTTTCCTGCTATTCTGCCTCTAGGAGGAAGCCTAATTATCCTTCAGAATTCAGTGCAGACACAGCTTCAAGAAAGCATCCTCGGCACTCAGCACAACTCAGGCTTTCAGTCTCAGTGTTCCCATAGGAAGTTTGAGATATTTTAATTTTTCTGATTAGCAAATATTGCATGGCTTTTATCTGTTTATAATTTTCTTCATTATACTCCTAAAGCATCCCCAGTGACTGACAGATTATTTATTGAATAAATTATTTATTGAATAACTTACTCTGGGCTGGAGCGATAGCACAGCGGGTAGGGCGTTCGCCTCACAAGCGGCCAACATGGCCGACCCGAGTTCGATTCCTCCGCCCCTCTCGGAGAGCCCGGCAAGCTACCGAGAGTATTCGATATGCCAGACACAGTAACAACAAAGTCTCCAATGGAGACGTTACTGGGCCCGCTCGAGCAAATCGACGATCAACGGGAGGGCCTTTACCTTTTACCTTTACTCTGAATCCCAGATTGTCAGATTGCGTCCTAAAATCAGAAACTTGTGTCATGGAAGGTGGTAAATAAATTGCACTTTCTTTACTCTCTTTCCTCCTTCTTGTCTACAAATAATTCAAACAAGACTTCCACATAGTAGTTGCCCCGCTCTACCGGTAACATCAACCCTTCAATCTCCTCCCCCATGTCAACTCCCATACTTCCTTTGGGATTTGTTTACCTGTTCGTTAGGGTTCTTTCAGCCTCTCCTCTTCCAAATAAAGGTCCTTTTCACTTCACTCAGAGAACTTTGCCCACTTCCTGCATGACATTGTGTCAGCAACTAGGCTAGAAACTACACATATGTGTTCACTTTGAAACTCCATGAGGACAGGGTCAGTGCTTGTCACATTCATCTCGGTTCTGAGGATGATGCTTACCACAGAGTAGATACTTAACAAGATGGGTGGCTTAGGCTAAACAAGCCCCACTGCCCTGCTGTCAGCAGTAGCAATGTCATGTAGTTCTTTCTTAGCTTAAATAGCACAGGAGGTAAGGTGCTTGCCTTGCACGTCACTGACTTGGCATCCTGTATAGCACCCCAAGCCAACCAGGATTGATTTCTGAGTGCAGAGCCAGAAATAACCTCTGAGCACCACAGGGTATGGCCCTCGAACTAAATAAACACGAGACAAAAAGCAAAACAAAAAATAGCTTCCTTAGACCAAGCAAAGAAATGACAGAAGGAGGCTAATTTTATTAAGATATAAACACATACACTGATTGCTAGAGTGATAGCACAGCGGTAGGGCGTTCGCCTTACAAGCAGCCAACATGGCCGACCCGAGTTCGATTCCTCTGCCCCTCTCGGAGAGCCCGGCAAGCTACGAGAGTATTCGATATGCCAGACACAGTAACAACAAAGTCTCCAATGGAGATGTTACTGGGCCCGCTCGAGCAAATCGATTAATACAAATGCTCACAAAAAAATGTATTTATGTTTGAGTATATAATGATACATTATTCGTATATATATATATCTAACCTAAGTGATTCTTCATCTTTATCTCTTTGTAAAATATTGATTAGATTAGCATGAATTCTATGGTTATATTTCAATCTATCTATGTAATAAAGAGAGAAATAGAGACAAAAAGATGCAAAGATATGGGATGCCTTAAGCTAAGTTTAGTAGATATAAAACAGCAAAATCAGTACTGAAAAGGTAGTTCAAGGTTAAGGTACTTACCTTGCACGCAGCTGGCCCATATTTGATCCGCAGCATCACATATCTTTCACCAGAGTAGCCCCAGGCTTCTAAGAGTAATTGACCCCTGAACTTAAGAGCCAGGAGTAAGCCCTGAGCACCACGGGGAAGAGGGGGGCAAAACCAAAGAAAAGAAAAAAAATAGAAAAGAAAAGTTTTTAAACAATTATTTTTAATAAAATTATTACAATTTGGTCCAAGGATATAGTTCAAAGAGCCAGAGCACATAGCAGAGGCCCCGGGTCAGTACTCAGCTTGAAAGGGTCCTTGTCAGTGCTGCTAGGATAGACTCCCTAACTCTGAAACGAAAGGATCCCCAGAACTCTGCTCATGCGACCTCAAACCTTCCCAGATTTTAAAAATTAAACTTTTGTAGTTTCTTTTTTTTGCTCTTTTCAGTAGGTCTCCCATCTCCCCTTTAAACTGATACATGAATATAGGGAAATACTAAGAATACAAATAATATTACCAAGGCTGTTTGAATTAGAAACTTGTGTTTTAAAAAATTTCTGATTTGTCAGATCAGCTTCCGGATAAGCATATAATAAAAAATATATATAACTATATTAATGCCCTTTGGATGAGTGAAATATATGTTCTCTAAAGAAAAAAGTCATTGCTTATAACTTTTTTTTAATGTTTCACTGGAGCGATAGCACAGCGGGTAGGGCGTTCACCTTACAAGCGGCCAACATGGCCGACCCAAGTTCGATTCCTCCGCCCCTCTCGGAGAGCCCGGCAAGCTACGGAGAGTATTCGATATGCCAAACACAGTAACAACAAAGTCTCCAATGGAGACGTTACTGGGCCCGCTCAAGCAAATTGACGATCAACAGGAGGGCCTTTACCTTTACCTTTTTAATGTTTATTAGTGAAACATGAGGTACACTTGTAGACTTACAAATTTTCGTGCTTGGGTTTCGGTTATACAGTGATCCAGTACCCATCTGTTTATACCTTTTATCATCGAAGATCTTCAATTTTTTTCATTTAGAAGCAAGATTAGTAAATTTAGTTACTTTAACAATCATACACTATGGCTTTATTTATAATATCCTAGAAGTACTGTTTTTCATGTCAGTGCTATAATGATTTTGTCCATAAAGAAAGCAGATTTCAGGGCCACGGAGCTCACTCTAAGATCTGAGCACTTGCTTTGTATGCAGAAGGCCCAGTTTTGATTTCTGACATCAATATCAATTGGTCTTGTGAGTAATACAGTGAGCTCTGATCACAGAACCAGGAGTAATTCTCAAACACTGTTGGGTGTGATCCAAAAACAAACAAACCAAAAATAAAGGGCCAGAGTAGCAGCACAACTGGTAGGAATGCTTACATGTGGAACACATGATTCCTGGAGCTCTATCAGAAGTGATCCCAGAGCATAGAGTGAGGAGTCAACCCCGAGCATCACCAGGTATGGCTCAAAACCAAAAAGAAAAGAAAAGAAAGTAAATAGATTATGGTATATTATCAAAATATAGCCTATAGAAAGAACCTCTAAGTTAGCTAGGACTCACCAATCTTACTGTAACTACTGCTCTTGTCATTATCAAAGTCAAGGACTACAACATCTTAATAATGTAAACATATCTATTAGGAATGTTTCATGTTTTCTCTCTTTCAG